CCATGATGGTTTCTTGCTCTGAATTTAAAAAAGTTATTTTGGGAGGTTTAAGTCCAGTTGCAATCATAACTAGAGTGAATGGGATGTATGTGTTACCATGCAGCAGCTGATTCAATGGCCTACTTTGCTAGAACGATAGCATGTTCTACTAGCATTTACTTTATTAGACTAGAGTCAATGAATCTACTCTGTTAGCACTGGATTTTAGGCCTTGGACTACAACTTCTAGAAACCTATGAGCTGTGACAATCCTGGCTCTGGTTTTGCAAACTGCCGTCAATAAAGTAATTTTTTTCAAGCTGTATCTTGACCACAATACCTGTAACTGGTATTTAAGGGATGCCACATACCTCCTTATCTGCTGCGACCACCATTCCCCATGCAGGGCCCAGTTGCAGCTTGTGATTTCGGGTGAAGCCAAGCACCCTGTTTCTGCCCTTACAGGCTGCGGCAGGGTTGGCGACGGACAAAGCAGTGGCAGCTCCACAGCATATGGCAATGGGTGGGCATCTGAACCCATCGCCATGCTGGACCAGGTAAGTGCTGAGGTGGGAACAGGCCAGATATGACAGGACTGGCCTATCGTATCCTGCCCATACATTTAGCCCCAAGGAGGAGATGATTATAGCCTCCCTCAGAAAAGAGATTGAGAACCTAGAAGCAGCCACTGTGAAGGCTTTCACTTTCCCACCAGACATGCCTGTGCGGGTGGTGGCACCAAGAGAAAGGGCTTTCCCAAATATCTTGGATCTGGGCAGGCTCGCATAGGAGAAAAAGGTCCTTCCAATAGCTTGAACCTTTATAAATCCTAGGATAAATAGAATAACATCTTTGCAGGGCACTTCTGGATGGAGATGCTGTCAATCAAATGCCATTTTGCAAGTATTCAGTTTTCTTTTTGTTGTTTTATACAGAATGGTCACAAGTGGAAGTTAACATTATCTGGAACCCCCATAAAGGTCTTTGTTTGAGGCACAGGGATAGCACAGCAAAAGCCTCATCCAGAGCACCTCTAGTTTTGCAAATAATAACAAGGGTTAGCTTTTGTCACACTACTCTCTTTGAAGAAAGGAGATGCAAGCACCAACAAGAGACATCATTGGACAGTCATGTTCTTCTTGTGTTCCTTGATTCTTGTTTGAACACTGCATTTTGTGGTCCCTCTCATGGCTGCAGGAGTTTACCGCATACTGTGCAGCTGTGGACAAGTCTACATAGGGACCACAAAACGCAGTGTTCAAATGAGAATCAAGGAACACAAGTGACACTGCAGACTGAGCTGGCCAGAAAAATCAGCAGTAGCAGAACACATTATAAACCAACCTGGGCATAAAATGCTATTTGAAAACACTTAAAATCTGGACAACTATTGGGCCAGAATGCACAGGGGATCCATTGAAATCCACAAACACCTGGACAATTTCAACAGGAAAGAAGAAACATTGAAAGTAAACAAAGTTTGGCTACCAGTCCTCAAAAACACCAAAGTCAGGACTCAGCAAATGCAAACAAACTTCACCCAGGCAAGGGGTTTCCCAGCAGACAATGGCCCATTAATTAAATAGACACTAATCCTCCTCGCATATCCTCCCACCCCAAGGCCTTGCCTCAACAGAACAATACATAGATTTACGTGCTAATCTTCTCAACCAAGGGTCACACAGTATATATACCCCACACACCTCCATGCCACTATTCTCTGACGATGCCAGCCACAGATGCAGGTGAAACATCAGGAATATATTCTTCTAAAACACAGCCTCACAGCCCGAAAAACCCACAAAAACCTATGGATGCTGGCTGTGAAAGCCTTCAAAATCCAGTTTCATTTTATCTATCTAACCATTGTCTCTCAAATGGAGACCAATCTTTTTCTATTTTATTTGTCAATTTGTTATTTTATAAAGATGTTAGTTTCTCTGTTGCTTCCATATCTCTAACCTTGAGTAGCCAGCCTTCTATCATTGGGGGTTCCTCCGCCTTCCATCTTCTTTCTAGGACTAGCCTTGCTGCTGTTACCAAATAAATCATAAAAAATAAATTTCTGACTGGAGAGAAGAGATGTTTAGAGGAGGAAATCTCTTATCTCTACTTGAGGATTAGAAAAAAAAGTGATTCTTCCCTCTCCCCAGTTTATTTTGCTTTTTAAAAGCTTTTCTTGGTACTAATGGATACTTTTGGAAAGCCTAATTGCAGGGCACAGCATTTTCAAGGAGATTGCAACTAGAGAGAGAAAGGTAAACCATCCCCTTCCTAGTACAATGATCTTTGGAAAATTCCTGCCCTCTAGCAACCAGATTTTTTTGGTTTTTTTTATTTTTAAAGTAAAATTTTAATTTTAATGACACTATTATTAAAACCAAATATAAATGCACACCAACAGAGAAAAAAGGAAAAGGAAAAAAACCCATCAAATTACTACTTACTGTATACCTACAGACATTAATAAACACATACTAATATACACACAATAAACCCACTAACAGTAAACAGTATAACAAACTTACAGATTTCTTCTGCTGCAATTGTTAGCTTAACCTCCCATGATTCCTCTTACCATATAAGGCTTAGGAATTAGATAAAGTCTGCCATAATTTTTCTAATCCACAAACACCAGTTGCCACTGAACAGAGTATCTTCTGCCAATCGATGTAGCTTGAATAGGCAGAACAACAGCCACAAATGCCTGGCATCACCCTGATGAAAAAGGTAGTTGGGAAGTCTGAAATACTTGTTCCGCCAAGCCATGGGGGATGACTTCTAATAGACATCTCTCTAATCTAGGGGCAGGCAACCTACGGCCCCCACGCTTACTGGCCCAGGCAGACCCCTGCCACTGGTGGCGCCGCTGCCACCGCTGGCCGCCACCACAGCGCGTTTGGGTCGCCGCACAGCTGCGTGCAC